AGCTAGACACCGCACAGAACCGACCCCTGTGGGGCGCAGTGCTCTGCTCTTGTCGGGCGCACTGGAGCACCAGCAGGCCGCAAGGCCTGCCCGTAATATCGGAAGGGGAGCTCCTCCTCCTCCTCCTCATCCCTCCTCCTCCTCCTCCCTCCTCCTCCTCCTCCTCACTCTGGATCGAATGGAGGGCATATCTGCCCACAGGGGTGGCATGACATCTGCATTGTCCGACGAGCCCAGCCCTGTTTCCCAGCCTTCCACCAGAGGGGATCTTGGGGCCCAGGCGCCCACACCTCATCAGAAGACGCGCCCAGACACGGACACAATGCCAGCAGCGTGTCTGGCACGGGCCCTCCGTCCCGTTGACCCCACTTGTAGGAGGGTAGGAGGCACCTGGCTGGGAGGTTCTCGTCGGAGAGAGCAAGGAGGACGAAGCCCAACCTGGGAGCTGTTGCGCCAGAGTGGGCCTCGGACTGAGCAGGATTGAGCCGGATCCAGCGGGATTAAGCGGGATTGAGCCGGGTAAGCGGGATTCAGCTGGATCAAGGAGGAGGGGGAGGGAGGAGGGGGAGGAAGAGGAGGAGGAGGAGGAGGAGTAGGAGGAGGAGGAGGAAGAGGAGGAGAAGGAGGAGGAGGAAGACGGATTTCGGACCAAGACGGATTTCGGACCAGGACAAAATGGGGTGGAGGAGGAGGAGGAGGACGAGGAGGAGGAGGTGAAGGAGGAGGAGGGAGGCAGAGGAGGAGGAGGAGGGTGGCAACATCAGAAATTTGACCTCCCAGGAGTTGCATCCGTTAACTGCTCTGGGGGGAGGCGCGCAGGCGGGCCCCGGGAGCGCACGCGGTGGTGCTCGGGCCCGGGGCACCTCCCATTGGCGAAGGCATGCCAGAGGCGAGAACTTGCCTGAGCCACTCTGGCAGGGAGTACAGTCAACCCGTGCAGTAAGGATGCGCGATAAGGATGCAAGGGCCTAGGACGCCCAATTCGAAGCTCTTCGAGCGGGGCGCGGCCAACGAAAGTGTCCAAGGGTGGACCCAGGAAGCAAGGATGCAAGGGTACCCTTGGGAGGGATGCCTATCCTTACTGTGCGGGTTGACTCTACACACCCAGGAATTTCCCAGTTCTGTTCATCTCTGTTTAGAGGGAGAAGAGTGGAGCGGACCTCAAGACTCAACACAGTCCCGCAGCTAGAGCCACGTTTCAAGAAAGCTTGCCTAGGAGGAAAGGCCCAGACTTGCTGATACCCAGATCTGCTCATGAGGCCGACGCACGTTTCCAGTCAGCGGGCGCAAGCGAACCGAAGCTGGTGCAGGCGCCGGTCGGGCTACGGGCGGGACACGCTAGGAACCAATCGAGGCACAGAAGTGGAGGAGGACGCGAACAAGGCAAAAGAGGCAGGATCCGCTCAGAACATGCAGTCCATCGCGGGCGTACCAGGGAATGCAGACGCCGAGGCGCGGCTGCGTGACGGGCAGCGGATGGCCGGAGCCAGGAAGCGTGAAGAGGTCGGACTTGAACTGGCAACTGGTGCCCGACGGCCTTGGGGTGACAGGCGCCCGGAGGGCGGTGACCACTTGGATGGGTACAGTCGGGGCGTTGACTTAAGGAAGGCCCTAAATAAGGAACGAGGCCCCTTTTTCCCATAAGTTAAACTTCGATTTACCATGGAAAACCCAACGCAAATTGTAAAACAATCAAGGAACACCGAGCCCCTCGCCAACGAGAAGGGTTCCTTCTTCAGCGCCCCGACTGTAGGCGGGCGCCAGACGGACGGAGCGTCCCCGAGGGGCAGGGCCAGGGAAGCCAAACGACTGACCATGCAAGGCCTCCGCACGTGAAGTCATGTGGAAACCAGGCGACCGACGCCCACGCCAAGGCGGCACACGGGCCCAAAGCCTCACGCGGACAGCTCTCACGCTCCCGCTCCACCTGGACAGCTGCAGCATGTACAGTCGAAGGCCGACGCTACAGAGGGAGGGCCCTCCAGGAGGTCCCCCAGGGCCCACAGGGATCCACGAAGTCTCAGGAAGGCCCAAAAGGGCTGCGGAGAGGAGGAGGAGGAGGCAATGGCGAAACCCCTGAGATCCTGCGACGCGAAAAACATGCAACACCGCGAAAAATCACGGCCAGCGCACCAGACTCCCTCTTCTGCCGCGCTTGTCGAGCCGCGTCGATGAGAGAGGATCCCAAGGGCCCGAAATCGTGCGAACACGTCCGACTGAAGAGAGTGCGACGCCAGGATCCCAAGGAAGGAGGAGAGAGGAGCTGGCCGAGGGCAGGCTGCAGGATGAGGACTCAGCGCCGCTGCCCCGCGGGGGCACCGCGCAGGCGCTCGCAGGCCTCGCCGCACGCCCGCCGCACGAGGGAGTGCTCCTCGTCGGCGCCGGCGCGCGTCGCCAGCGCCCGGAGCAGCGGGCCGCTCGCGGGCGGCACGACGACGACCGCGAGGGCCTCGGCCGAGGCCCGGCGCACGGCCCAGGCCTCGTCCCCGAGGCCCGCCAGCAGCGCCGCCGCAGCCTCCGCGGCGGACGTGCCCGGCAGCAGCCGCGCCAGAGCCGCGGCAGCCGCCCGGCGCACGCCCGGATCGCAGTCCCCGCGGAGCGCCGCCGCGGCGGCCTCGGCCGCGCCGCCGCCGCGCGCCGCCCCCAGGGCGGCGTAGCGCACGGCCGCGTCCGCGTCGCCGAGGCTGCGGCGCAGGGCCGCGGCGGCGGCCTCCGGCGCCGCGGCGCCCAACGCCTGCAGCGCGTGCACCGCCGCGGCGCGCACGCCCGGGTCGCGGTGCTCGAGCCGAGCGGAGGCCGCGGCCGCGGCCGGGCCCGCGGGCAGCCTCGCGAGCGCGGCGGCCGCGGCGCGGCGCACGAAGGGGCAGCCCGCCTCGAGGTGCTGCGCCGCCAGGCCCGCGGCCTCCCCGCCGCCGGGCGGCGCCAGCTCGTGCAGGGCGTTCGCCGCGGCCTCGCGCACCTGGCCCTCGCCGTCCCCCAGCAGCGCGGCGACCCCCGCCACGGGCACGGCGGCGCCGCCACGGGCCAGGGACAGCAGCGCGCGCAGCGCGCGCAGGCGCAGCGCCCAGTCCGCGCTGCGGAGGCGCCGCAGCAGCTCGCCGACCACCGCCGCAGTCGCCGCCGCGCGGCCCGCGGCGTGGGCCGCGCGCGCGGCGAGGAGCGGCCCGGGCCCGGCTCCGAGCAGCGGCTCCAGCAGCCGGCCCCGCAGGTCCTGGGAGACGCGGGCGCCGGACCACATCGCCGGGCCCGGGCGGCGCTGGCGCGGCCCCGGCCGCGGGCGCACGCCGCGCGGCCGCCCCGCCGGCGGAGCCCGGAGAGGGGGAAGAGTGGTCGGGGAGGGAGGGGGAAGAGGAGGGGGGGCCTTGAGGGAGGCAGCGAGGGAGGGAGGCGGGAAGCGGGGCGACTCGTGCGGCACACGCACGTGCTCATCACTCGTTCTGGCTCTGGCTCGGGTTCTGGCTCTGGCTCTCGAAATATCTCTCTTTCTAACTATGTCTCTCTATCTCGATTTATATCAGTCGTTTCTTCGTGTTGTCTCTCTCTCTCTATATATATACATATATATATATATATATATATATATGTATATATATATATATCGTTACCTGCCTATATATATATATTAAAAATAATAGTAGTATGTATAGAAATAATAATAATGATACTATTAATAATGATAATAATAATAATAAGAATATTCATAATAATTAATAATAAAAATAATAATAATAATAATTATTATTATTATTATTATTAATAATAATAATAGTAATAATAAAACTAATAATAATAGTTCTCTCTCTCTATATATGTATGTATGTCGTTATCTGCTTATGTGTGGTTCCCTCTCTCTCTCTCTCGTTATGTGTATTGTTACATCACTATAAATCACTGTTGTTTCTCTCTATATACATATAACTATACGTAGTACAAAGGACTCGTTTTTCTCTCTCTCTCTCTCTCTATGTGTGTGTATGTGTGTGTTCTCTCTGTCTCTCTCGATGTATCTAGATACATCTATAAATTAATGTATAAGCACATGGCGAAATTATATATATATATATATATATATATATGCATATATATATGTATATATATATATATATGTAGATGCCTCGAACAGTTCTTGGACTTAGGGGTTCTTCATTCCTGGGGGAAGACAGCAATGCTATCTTCCCCCAGGAATGGAACAATCTTGGCCCGGTGGGGCTCTCTCGGCAAGCATCTCGGAGCCCTCTTGGGACGCCGTCGGGGCCTCCGGGGCCGTCCTTGGCCCTCTGTCAGGCCCCTGCCAGGCCGCCCTTTGGCCGCTCTCTGGTGGCCTCCGGGAGCTGTCCTGAGCGAAGATCGGGAGCGGCCAAGAGGGGGGTGTCCAAGAGGGGGGGGTGCAAATCATGACCGGCGGCATGTGCGCGGCCCAGCGGGGGGGCCAGGGACGTAATGGAATAAGAAGAGGCGCAATGAAATCTGAGGAAATATCATGGCCCCCGCCATGATATCCACCCCCCCCTAGTCATCACCCCCCTCTTTGCCGCTCCCGAGAAGAGGGGGACGCCCCGCGAGGCGTGGGAGGCCCGGAAGGAGTCAAAAATGTCGTGAGCAAAGGGGATCGCGGCCAGGGCCCCAGGCCTCCGATCCCCTGGCACACAGACGCAAACACATACACGCAGACACACAGACATACAAACAAACAAACAAACAGACAGACAGACAGACAGACAGGCAGACAGGCAGGCAAATATACAGACAAACATACCGGCATGCATGCATACATACATACATACATGCATGCATGCATGCATGCATGCATGCATGCATACATACATACATGTACAAGCATGCATATATACAAACATGCATACATATGTGTATATATATGTGCATACATCTATATACATACGTGCATACATACATACATTCATGCATGCATACATACATACACACATGCGTACATGCGTACATACACATACACATACATGCATACATACATGCATACATACATGCATACACACCTGCATGCAGACATATATGCAGACAGGCAGGCAGACAGACATGACAACATACCTACACAAACATACATACGTACATACATACATGCATCCAGGCATGCCTGCATGAATACATATATCATTCCAGTCATGCTCACACATGTATGTATATATATATATGTGTTTGCGCGTATACATACAAGCATACAAATATACATACGTACAGACTTGCATACATATATACACATACACATACATGCATGCATGCATGCATGCATCCATATATTCCTCTTCCGATATTGTTCTAAGCCCGGGCGGGGGGAAAACACGCCCCCCCAAAAAAAACAGACTCCTGGGATCTGGGGTTTTGGGACCATCCGGACTGGCCTCGAAGCGGCCACCGGGCCTCGCCGGGCGTTTTGCCAAGCCTTCCCAGCACACCTAGGGCGATCAGGGGAGTCATCGGAGACGCCCCAGAGACCCCAAGACAGCACAAGAGCGCTCCAAGAGTGACCGACGTGACCTCAAGATGGTCCAAGAGGCCTCCAGGACGGCCCCAAAGAGGCCTCCAAGAGCACTCCCAAGAAGGCCCCCCGAGGCAAAAATCATTGATTTTCTGTGGGTGTTTGGTGAATTTTGGGGTTCTCCATTTTTCGGCTTCCCGACGCTCCAAGACGGCGGTCTTCTGGGCGTCCGAAGCCGCCTGGGAGGCTCCAAAATCGCCCCACAACCATCCAAAAGGGCTTCCAGGCAACCCAAGAGAGCCCCAAAACGGTACAACACTGGTCCAAGATGGCCCTCAGAGAGCCCCATGGCGGCCCAAAATGGCCCACAGACACCCTCCGAAGAATTCCAAATCGTGATTCGGTCGTTCAGGGAGACCGCGGTTGGAGGCAGGGTGGCCCGAGGAAGCCCCCGGAGGCCCCTAGAATACGCCCACGAGGCCTCCAGAAGGCCTTAAGAAAGCCTGAAACATTTTTTGTGAGGCCCCTAGAGGCTCTCCAAGGAGGAGCCTCCGCAAAAAAGAGCTGAGGAGGATGGAGAGAATGCGCAAGGCATGGCGAAAATAAGGAAAAAGAAGCATGGAGGAAGGATAACGAATAACATTACTATAGCGGCGATGCCGGAAAAGGCAACCAGGAGTTATCGCTAAATTGTCGGCTTGGCCGTCCTGCTATTCCGCCTGCACACCAAACTTCAAGGACCAAGGTGCACGGCGCGAAGCGCCACTGCAGTCTGGTATGTGCATATATTTATTTATATATATATATATATGTACACACACGTACGGGTAGACGCACACAAGTACAACATGTACGCACACATACACATGCATACAGGCATCATACATGCATACATCGATACGAACATACATGCATGCATGCATGCATGCATGCATACATACATACATACAGGCGTACAATCATGCATATACACATACATGTATACATACATACTTCCGTACATACGTACATACAGGCTGACAGACAGACAGGCAGGCAGACAGACAGACAGACAGACAAACATAACGACATACTGACCGACATAGATACGTACATGTATGCATGCATGCATGCATGCACGCATACATATATTCACACACATATACATACGTGCATACATACATACATACATACATACATACATACATACATACATACATACATACGAACAAACAAACATACATACATACGTCGCTCGTACCAATAAACATACATGCATACGTACATCCACGCATGCAGACATACAGTTATACAACCATGCCGACGTACCTACCGACCGACCGACCTACCTACATACATGAATCGATCTATTCATCCATTCATAACATGCATGCATGCATGCAAACAGACAGACACACGCTCGTACGCACGCACGTACGTACGTACACACATACAGACATACAGACATATAGACATACGTACACACGCAGCCCCCGCAATCGCGGATAAGACTGAGGGAGCGGCGGGGACGTCGGCACTCTGCGAGGCTCTGCATAAGCCCACCACAGGCGCCTAATTCTTCTAACATATACACAACGAGCCCGCCGCAGGCGCCGATTTTCTCATTAACACAATGTGGGTGGGTCGCGGGTGGGTCGCGGGTGGGTCGCGGGTGGGTCGCGGGGTGGGTCGCGGGAGGGTCGCGTGTGGGTCGCGGGCTCTGGGGGCTAATGGGGTACCCAGAGGGATGGACCTTTGTGTACCGGGGGCGGCCGGGGAGCCCAGAGGAAGGCAGGGGTCACAAAGCGTCCCCCCGTCAAGTTCGGCACGGCCAAGCGTTCCTCCTCCTCCTCCTCCTCCTCCTCCTCCTGCTCCTTCTCCTGCTCCTGCTCCTGCTCCTCCTCCACGTCCTCCTCCTCCTCCTCCTCCTACTCCTCCTCCTCCCCCTCCCTCCTCCTCCTCCTCCTTCTCCTCCTCCTTATCCTTATATCCTCCGCCTCCGCCTCCGCCTCCGCCTCCTCCTCCTCCTCCTCCTCCTCCTCCTCCTCCTCCTCCCGGTGAGCCCTGGC